ACAAGTCTTCCACTTCGAGACACTCTTCGAGGGTGGCGATAACTGCTGTCCCACAAGGACAGGTCCGGACAACTGCTTCAACTGGTAACCGGCAAATACTTCCGGGTCAGTAATGCCCCGCATTTTGGCCTCTTTGAAGTGCTTAATCTTCTGTTCTAGCGGAGAAACTGATGGCGGAGTGGTAGACACAGAAAGGCAGAAGTCGGGACTGAGGGAGGCACTGCGCTTGCGGAGGCAATATCGCAGCTTGCCATCATAGGCCTCTTGATCACTCTCCACGTCAGCATCATTGCCAGCACCCGATGAAGACTTGCGCTCGAGTGGAGCCTCCCTTTGAGAACCTCCACCACCATTGCCGAACACCTTGCCACGGGTGTGGGAAACCGTTTTAAGCGAGAGGGCGCGACGGCGGTGACCAATAGGAATTGGATCCGCCGGTACCCCATCGCCAGCCCCGCTTCCCTCTGTCAGGTAATTAGGCGATTTTTCCGCTTTTAGTCTCAACACCTCATCACCCTCAGTCTCGACCAACTGATGACTGGAAGGGGCAAAGAGAACTGTGGTGGATGAGCAGTACATATTTAAGCAGTCTAGGTTGATGCATTGAAAAAGTATAAAGTCATCTTAAATATCAAGAATTGGATCGCATTCCAAGTACTAAGCGAGATAGTTACAATGTCACTGCTCCGTTAAATTCAAGTAAGTACTATGACGTTACTATTAATGCGAATGAAATAGAATTACGTGTGTTACGACAAGCACTTCTACGTGGTAGAAGGTTAAGCAAAAGCATCGTTTGAAATAAAACTGGTGCTTTGTATTCTGCAAAATTGGAACAGACTTAAAATTATGAATGCAAAACTTCATGCTGATGGCAAGAAAAGAGATAAAGATTATGGAAAAGTCTGCGCCCACAACGACTGACGACTCACCAATGCAGTATTGTAATTAACATAACCTCAGAAAAAAAACAAAACGTAGTAAAACAGCATCGATGTATATCAAAATCATCAACAGTTATATTGGCATACGACAATATTTCGAGTGAATTGTCCAACTGATTGCCTTTGTTTGGAATGTGGCAAGGAGAGGATAATAGATTTGCATTGTCCTTTGTTGCGGGGTTGGATTCGGTGGTCTCCGCCGGAAGACATGGCTGCGTTGTTGCACTTGCATGATTGGAAAGATTGGACTGCGTTTCTACAGCTATTGAAGACTGTGGATGTGGTGGTAGTGGTGGTGGTAAAGATTCAGGACCGACAATAGAGTCCGAAAAAGCCGATCCCGGAGTGCGCCTCGAAGATGAAGTGCGTGTACGACGTTGAGGATCATAAGCGGTTATTTGTGCATGCAGAATACCAAGACCAAGTCCCACCGCTAAAGGCATAAAGACGTCAGCAGCAGTCACCTAGAAGCAAAAATGAGGAAGATACACCACTAAGAAAGTACTAGCGAAATTCTGCGACCGTAATTCTTTGAAGGTAATGATAGTGACCCACTATTACCACATTTAATTTGCAGTCACGAAGTACTTAAGTTACACAGGTGAAGATTTTACATATTGTGCATGTGAATAACGAACACCCAAGTAAAGCACTGCTATAAATACAAAAATACAAAAATGAGAAAGGTACACTGAACGAAAGTGTAAACGCTGTCTAGATGTGCAAGTTCAAACGGGTATGGCATGTAGTCATCAAGAGAAGGATAAGATGGAGG